CTCCTGGCGGCCTACATAACGTGCTATAGCTGCCCCACCCCAAGTGGACCCGTCCAACACTGGTCAACCCATGTGCTCCTGTCCCTCGTGTTATACACAGTGCTGTGCCATTAGTGAAATATTTTTTTACATAACTTTTTTATTTTCAAAGTAACTTTGAACATTTTTGGCCAAGACTATGTCTGGTAGCAGCATCAGTCGTTCTGAAGGTGTTAAGAGGAAGAAAGTTGTCCTAACAATTAAAGACAAGTCACTGTTATACACCTCAACCAGTGCGGCCTCACAGTGCTGCGCCATTAGTGAAATATTTTTTTAAATGACTTTCTTAATTTTCATAGTAACTTTGAACATTTTTGGCCAAGAATATGTCTGGTAGCAGCATCAATCGTTCTGGAAGTGTTAAGAGGAAGAAGATTGTCCTAGCCATTAAAGACAAGCTACGTGTTGTTCAACCAGTGAGGCGCTACAGGCAAGCCAAGCGCCTTCAACAAGTGAGGCATTACAGGCAAGCCAAGCACTTTCAACAAGTGAGGTGCCACAGGCAAGCCAAGCGCCTTCAACAAGTGAGGCATCACAGGCAAGCCAAGCACCTTCAACAAGTGAGGGCATGCAAGCGCTTCAACAAGTGAGGTGCAAGCAAGCGCCTTCAACAAGTGAGGCCTCACAGGCAACCCAAATGCCTTTCACTAGTGAGGCTTCAGCAGCTGGCAGTCAAAACTAACTTAGCTTAATGAACTGTACAGTAATTTTAGTGTTGTGTTAGTATAGGTTACGTAAATTGTTAAGAATTTTTAACTTCAAGATGTGTGGCATCAATCAAGAAGACGAACACCAACAAGGTAAGTTGAGGTTTCTAGTTGAATATTTAATAATTGTATGTGGTAAGGGAATTCAAATTATGTTGTTTGTAGTATAAAAATAGTTGGAAATGGTCACTTTTGGACTCGTAGGTGAAAAAGTACCATTATCCGAAAAATGTGATAATCCGGCTGGGGGTCCTTCCCATATAGTCCAGATGATCGAGTGGAGACAGTATTTACTTCTATTTGTCATAAAATTAGATTATTTCAGAGTAAAAATAGATTTAATCATGTTCTGCATTCAGCACCAACATTATAGTGAGAAAATACACCATATTTCTTTATTACTTATGTAATGCCAGCAGGATTTGGGTAGATTTAGGTAATTCTATATACCGCTTCTGTCCTGCAGTAGGAGTTGAACTTGGGACTTCATAGTTATGGCCTGACTATGCTTGCTTTAGTGCCATAGGGCCTTCCTTACCTTGTGATGAGTTCGAGGCTCAATGTCCACACGGCCCAGTCTCCGACCAGGCCTCCTAGTTGCTGGACTGGTCAACCGGGCTGTTGGACTCGAATGCTCACAGCCTAATGTATGAATCACAGCCTGGTTGATCAGATATCATTTGGATACCTGATCATTTGGAGGTGTTTTATCGCATTCTCTCCTGAACACTGTGAGTGGTCAGCCAGTTATGCCCCTTATACAGTATGTAGTGGAAGTGTGTTGAACAGTTCGTCTCGAGCCTCTGAAGTTGGTCCATCTAATTACCCAAAGCTACCCATATCTACTCAAAGCTTCCTAGTATTACATAAGTAATGAAGAAATATGATATATTTACTCACTATAATGTTAGTGCTGAAGGTAGAACATGAAAAAATACATTTTTACTTTCAAATAATATGTTTATAACAAAATTAGACAAAACTAAATGGCATGAGAGGCCATAGGAAGTCGACGACCCAAGCGACTATGATATGGAGCGACTTATCCAAGATATATTGTTGCCTACAGGTTATATTAAGTTAGGTTTGGAGAGGTTAGGTTTAGTTAGGTTAGGTTTTGTTAGGTTAGGTTTTGTTAGGTTTGGGTAGGTTGGTTAGGTTATGTTTGGGTATGTTGGTTAGGTTATGTTTGGGTAAGTTGATTTGGTTAGGCAAGTACAGGAGGCTGATATGCCAGCAAACACTTCAGGCAACAATGTGTCTTGGATAAGTCGCTCCACAACATTGTCGCTTGGACTGTCGACTTGCTTTGCTGTCACCAGCAGCTTATTTTCGTCTAATTTTGTTATGAAATGATACTTTTTTCAGAGTAAAAATATGTTTTTCCATGTTCTACATTCAGCACCAACATTATAATGAATAAATATATCAGATTTATTCATTACTAACGTAATGTTAGGAAGCTTTGAGTAACTTTGGTTAATTAGACAGACCCTCTGTTGATAGTCATCTCTGAGTACCTGTTGCACCTCTTCTTTTCAACGGGGGTATTCTGCACATCCAGCCATGCCTTTTGGTCTCATTTGATGTTATATCTGTTTGCAGATTTGGGACCAGCCCCTCTTAATATTTTCCATGTGTAAATTATTGTGTATGTCTCCTGCGTGCACTCTAGAGAATACAGATTTAGGCATTTTAGTCTGTCCCAATAGTTTAGATGATTTACAGGATCTCTGCATGCTCTTCAAGTCAGCAATTTCTCCAGCTTTGAAAGGGTCCGTCATTGTGCAACCACTGTAACGTACGATTATGTTACGTTGTTGGGTAGATTAGATATGCAGTGTTTAGTGAGTTTCATATTTATTTATTTAGTAGTCTTGGTTACAGTAGTCGGTCGTTGGCGTTGTCGTAGATGTTCAGATGGAGCTTGGAGCAGAGCAGAGAGCTGAGCGAGGGCTGGAGTCATGAAGCTGTATGCAGGAGAGTGTGTGGCAGCTCGATTGGGAATCGTGAGTGTCTGAACTCGATGAGGAGCGAGAGCTTTGTAGCTCGATGCGGTCGTATTCTGCTCTGTATTGAAGCTGTAGCGTCTTGGGGTCGATTAAAATTGTACACAACGAGTGCCACATTCTTGCGGTTGAAGAGGTGAGGTAAATCAAAGGTGTCTGTTCTGGAGTTATCCGACTCACTGTGGAAATTGTACTGACGCTTATTCGCAATTAGCTTGCTTATATTTGGTGACTACACCTCAGCTTCCTCCATCAGGATGGAAAGAATGTTACCTGTAAATAGGGATAGGATTATAGCTTGTGTAATTAGTTATGCCATTAAGCTAATGAGAGGCTGTAGTGAGTATATTGTTTGTACTCGCTACACCACTCTAAAGAGCACTAATGTCTTGAAAAGTATCATCATTTGTATAGCATCTCTTGTTTGAAAGGTTCTTGTTATCCAACCTGTTATTTTTCTTGCAGTTGCAACAGCTACTTTATTTGTGTTCTTTAACCCCTCAACTGCTCGGCTTCCAAATACGGCACCCCCCCCCCCCAGTGCGCAGGAAATAAATTCCCTGGAAAAAATTCTTTTCTTTTTTTGAAAGTGTCAAAAACCCTTCCCTGAGTATGGATATGTGAACACAAAGTCAAAATTGTACTTACTTTGGCTGTTATGGGGTCCATAAGTTCGCCCATGATGTCATCATTCCCTGTTCACCTGTGCCGTAAGCCCCCGGGGCCAGTAGGGCGCCTGGCTCAAGATGCGCCAGTTGCCACGAATATATTTGTGTTCATTTCTGGGGGGGGGAGCCCCTACGGCTCCCCGGAGCTATCCATGGCTGATATGGATACCCTAACTATTTTGCATCAGTCGATGTGGGTGGAGTTCTAGGCCTACCGGGGACCACGAGCCAGAACCTGGCCCCCTCAGAGAGGCACGGGGAGCAATGGCCCATAGAAATGCACATGTGATTTGGAGCATTCTATATCTGCCATCGACCGGGACAGGCACCCAGAAAGGTAAGCGCCACAAAACAAACCCCTATTCTGGTTAAACAAAATCGACAAACGAGTGGACAGAACTCCCCCCAAGAAAACGAACTAACAAGCATGACGTCACGCGAGCCGCGCCGCATGTCTGCGCAGCTCCCCCCTCCCCGGGAGGGGGAAGGGGGAGCCCCAGACCCCCGCGCCGGCGATCCCCGCCGCAGTTCCTCGGCTGATGGGATCATGCACGGTCGTGTGGCTCCAGCTCTAGTCTTGTCTCAGTGCTGTGACTTGTTTGCAGTGCTGCTCTTACGGTGGTCGTGTGAGCTGGGAGTAGTATTCTCAGGTACTCGGGCTGCATGTGCTTAGGGTCACCTTCCCTGAGTGCCCTGTAAGTACCGCCCTTGGGGCTTGGGGTTGCCTTCCACAAGTCACCTTGGGTCTACCTCTGTTGGCTTTTCGCTGCTTGGCGTTTGGCCGCCCCGAGGGTTTGGGGGTTTCACTCCCTTGTTTACCTTGGGGTAAGTGGTAGTTATCGCACTGGTGGGGCGCAGGGTACTGCGTAGCTAGTTTTCACCTATGACAGCGGCCGGCTCTGTTCCCTCTGGGTACGTTGTCCACTTGTGTGGTTTTTTCTTTTATTTTTGTTTTTGCCTGGTAGGGGGGTCTTCCTTGTTTCTCCCCCCCCCCTTATATTAGGTTCGTTTGTGTGGTGGCACCCCCTGCTTTGCCCTCGCGAGTGGACACGTCCCGTGGGTTCAGCTTTAGCAGTTTGCTTGGTAGTTTGGGGCGCCGGTTAGCAGTACCCTGCCTGGGATAACCCTTAGCAGACCCAGTCTAGGGGCCCTGGGAAACCCCCCGGGAGCTTTTCACCATACATTGGTTCGGCACATAAAATGTAATAAACTATATTTGGAACTGTGCACAAAAAATGTGCAAAAAAAATATATTCGCTGCATACTGCACGGGCGTACGGGGAAAGATGACGTCACGCCCCACCTTTCGGACCCCATAGCTGCCAAAGTAAGTACAATTTCAAAATTCTGTTGCTATACCCATATACAGGGAGGGGTTTTTCACACTTTCAGAACAAAAAATAATTTTTTCCCGAGATTTTATTTCTTGCGCACTGGGGGGGGGGTGTCATATTTATAGGCCGCGCAGTTAAAGGGTTAAGGATTAATGATCTACAACAATTCTCACAATATCCTAAATGCATTTAAAATCTTTTGCTTTCTTCTGATACTCCTCCATTTAATTATACTATCTCTACCCCTTTAGGATCTTCAGGTGGAGATTTGTGACCTGGCCAACCTATAGAATAAAGAGTGCAGGTCACTTATTTGAGGTTGTTTGGTGGAGACCATTGTAATGGGCCGCAAATCCAACCGTCGTCATCCACTTGCAGGTACAGTAATTCGTATAGATCCATATAAAACTAATTAGATTGAAGCTAAGAAAACAGAGATGCTAAAAAAATATGAAAGTTCTCTTTTTACACACAGAGATGTAGATGGTTGGAAGAATTTAAATTAGGTGCTAGTGGTGGAGGCCAAAACCATCAGTATATTCAAAGGCTCATTTGACAAAGATAATAAAGAAAATGGGACACCAAGAGCATAATTCTTATCCTGTAACTACACTTAAGTAAATACACTTAACACTTTGACGCTGCCGGGTTATTGAAAAAAAAAAACATATCCCTAGATGCTTTCGGCGTTTCGAGCGCTTATGCCGCAAGACCGAAAAGTGTATACTCTTTTGACTGTCGTGACACTAATTGTAGGCGTACGTATTTAAATTTGGTATCACTGTGTTCGCAATAGATTTGTCTATAAGAACATACCCATAAAATGCCGCCAAAGCATAAGGCATATCAACACCAAATAAAAAACTATTGAGATCGCTAGCCGAGAGCGCCAAACAGCAATAAAATGTTTCCACTCTCTTCATGGTTGTGAAGCCCACAGTTGTGCTACAGCGTTAATTTTGGTATCACTGAAATCGCAATAAAATTCTCCACACGGACATATGCATATAAATATAGAATCAATGTCGCAGCCCACCCAAAACAGTGTGGGATGTGGCCGAAGTATTACCTGTGGCGGCATATCGGCGAAACCCGCATTGAAAAGTGTATATTCAATTCACTGTCCTGACATTATTTTTCGATGTACGTATTTCATTTTTGTACCAATGTGTTCGCAATAGAATGTTCTAGAAGAACATAAGTATAAAAGGTCACATAAGGATGCGTTCAACCGGCAACATATATAAAAACTATGTCGCTTATACTCGTTGCGTCAATAATACAATTGTTTTACCACGATGATTCACTGCCACGCCGTTCTCCTAAATAAGCTGTTTCTCCTCCCACCACAGTATATGATAAAGGCACAAAAAAATATATACCAAAACAGAGATGCAGAACTAGGAAACATGATTGGTTTAATAGAAATTGCGAGAGGGCCAGAGATAAAAAGACACAAAAATAGAATCAATACAGGAAGAGGCCAAACCCCCAAACATACCAACGATACAAAAATGCGAGAAACAACTACACGGCAGTGAGGAGAGAGACAGAAAGAAATTTTGAAAAGGGATTGCAGACAAATGTAAAACAGAACCAGGTCTATCCTATAAATTCATAAACAACAAATTACAGGTAAAGGATAATATTCAGAGGTTGAAAATGGGAAATAGATTCACCGAAAATGAAAAGGAAATGTGTGAAACACTAAACAAAAAGTTCCAAAGTGTGTTTGTACAAAATGAAATCTTTAGGGAACCAGACACAGTAAGAATTCCAGAGAACAACTTAGAGCACACAGAGGTGTCTAGAGACGAAGTGAAAAAAATGCTCAAGGAGCTAAGTAAGAACAAAGCAGTTGGTCCAGATGGAGTTTCACCATGGGTTCTGAGAGAATGTGCACCTGAGCTCAGCATGCCACTTCAAATGATTTTTCAGGCATCCCTGTGTACAGGAGTTGTAGCTGATGTGTGGAAAAAGGCTAACATAGTTCGAATCTACAAAAGTGGAAGCAGGGAAGACCCCCCTTAATTATAGACCTGTATCATTGACAAGTGTAATAGTGAAAATATTGGAAAAAAATAATTAAAACTAAATGGGTAGAACACCTGGAGGAAAACGATATAATATCAGACAGACAGTATGGTTTTCGAACTGGAAGATCCTTAGTAACAAATTTACTGTTTTTATGATCGAGCCACAGAGATTTTACAGGAAAGAGATGGTTGGGTTGACTGCATCTATCTGGACCTAAAATAGGCTTTCGACAGAGTTCCCCATAAGAGGTTGTTCTGGAAACTGGAACATATTGGAGGGGTGACAGGTAAGCTACTAACATGGATGAAAAATTTCCTAACTGACAGAAAAATGAGGGCCATAATCAGAGGCAAGGTATCAGATTGGAGGAATGTCATGAGTGGAGTACCACAGGGTTCAGTTCTTGCACCGGTAATGTTCATTGTCTACATAAACGATCTACCAGTGGGAATACAGAATTACATGAACATGTTTGCTGATGATGCTAAGATAATAGGGAATATAAGAAACCTAGATGATTGTCATGCCCTTCAAGAAGACCTGGACAAAATAAGTATATGGAGCAATACTTGGCAAATGGAATTTAATGTGAATAAATGCCATGTTATGGAATGTGGAATTGAAGAACATTGACCCCACACAACCTATAAATTATGTGAGAAATCTTTAAAGAATTCTGACAAAGAAAGGGATCTAGGGGTGGTTCTAGATAGAAAACTGTCACCTGAGGACCACATTAAGAACATTGTGCGAGGAGCCTATTCTACACTTTCTAACCTCTAGAATTGCTTTTAAATACATGGATGGCGAAATACTAAAGAAATTGTTCACGACTTTTATTAGACCAAAGCTGGAATATGCAGCAGTTGTATGGTGCCTATATCTTAAGAAGCACATCAACAAACTGGAAAAGGTGCAACATGCCACTAAGTGGCTCCCAGAACTGAAGGACAAGAGCTATAAGGAGAGGTTAGAGGCATTAAATATGCAAAAACTAGAAGATAGCAGAAAAAGAGGCGATATTATCACTACGTTCAAAATAGTAACAGGAATCAATAAAATTGATAGGGAAGAATTCCTGAGACCCGAAACTTCAAGAACAAGAGGTCAAGAGATTTAAACTAACGAAACAAAGCTGCCGGAGAAATATACGAAAATTCACTTTTATAAACAGAGTGGTAGACGGTTGGAACAAGTTAAGTGAGAAGGTGGTGGAGGCCACGACCGTCAGTAATTTCAAAGCATTATATGACAGAGTGCTGGGAAGATGGGACACCACGAGCGTAGCTTTCATCCTGTAAGTACACTTAGGTAATTACACTTAGGTAATAACATGAGACCAGAAGGCATGGCAGGATGTGCAGAATACCCCTGTTGAAAAGCAGAGGTGCAACAGGTACACTGAGAGAGAACTCTTATCAACATCAGAGGCCCGAGACTGTTCAACATGCTTTCACTTCACATAAGGGGTATAACTGGCCGACCCCTCACAGTGTTCAAGAGAAAACTTGACAAACACCTCCAAAGGATACCTGATCAACCAGGCTGTGAGCAGCCGCGTCCAACAGTCTGGTTGACCAGTCCAGCAACGAGGAGGCCTGGTCGGCGACCGGGCCGCGGGAATCACCTCAAGGTAAGGTGGTGGCAGATGGTGTCAGGGGAGGCAGGTGGTGTCAGGGGAGGCAGGTGGGGTCAGTGGTGAGCTCTGGTTATCAGTTATCAGCTAGTTGGCAACACATGGCTGGCGCCTCCATGCTTCCACAGCGATACGTTTGCACACTGTCTGCTTTTCACCAAATTAGCTGAGAACAAGTTACCATTTCAGTTGTTTGTAACACATTGCTCTATCATATTCCATAGTCAAAATGAAGAATTCATAATAAATGACGTTGTCAGTGGTGTGGGGGGAATGTATTAAGGGGGGGGGGGGGTGGAAAAGGGCATAAGGGAAAGGGAGAATGTGAGAGGAGGACTGTCAACCTTTAGTTATGGCGACTGCTGACTCCACACCACATGGGCGCCTGGATGCTATACTCGATGCTTTTCATAAAATTAAGAGAGAAAATTTTACCATTTCAGTGGCTTGTAACACATTGCTCTATCATATTCCTTATTCAAAATGAAGAATGAAAAAATGTGTGTGTGTGTCAGTGGTGAAGGGGATATATTAGGGGGGGGGGGTTAGGAAGTCAAGTATTTTTTTTTTCAGGCGTGTTGAATGAGACACCTCCATGTCTGGCTTCCCCGTTGCTGCCTCACTACCCGGTGGATGGTGTGAGTGGTGTGGGGGATGGTGTGAGTGGTGTGGGGGATGGTGTGAGTGGTGTGGGGGATGGTGTGAGTGGTGTGGGGAATGGTGTGAGTGGTGTGGGGGATGGTGTGAGTGGTGTGGGGGATGGTGTGAGTGGTGTGGGGGATGGTGTGAGTGGGGTGGGGGATGGTGTGGGGGATGATTTGAGTGATGTGGGGGATGGTGTGAGTGGTGTGGGGGATGGTGTGAGTGATGTGGGGGATGGTGTGAGTGGTGTGAGTGTTGTGGGGGGGGGGGGTGTGAGTGGTGTGGGGGATGGTGTGAGTGGTGGAGGGGATGGTGTGAGTGGTGTGGGGGATGGTGTAGTGGTGTGGGGGATGGTGTAGTGGTGTGGGGGATGGTGTGAGTGGTGGAGGGGATGGTGTGAGTGGTGTGGGGTATGGTGTGAGTGGTGGAGGGGATGGTGTGAGTGGTGTGGGGGATGGTGTGAGTGGTGGAGGGGATGGTGAGAGTGGTGGAGGGGATGGTGTGAGTGGTGGAGGGGATGGTGTGAGTGGTGGAGGGGATGGTGAGAGTGGAGGAGGGGATGGTGAGAGTGGTGGAGGGGATGGTGAGAGTGGTGGAGGGGATGGTGTGAGTGGTGGAGGGGATGGTGTGAGTGGTGGAGGGGATGGTGAGAGTGGTGGAGGGGATGGTGAGAGTGGTGGAGGGGATGGTGTGAGTGGTGGAGGGGATGGTGTGAGTGGTGGAGGGGATGGTGTGAGTGGTGGAGGGGATGGTGAGAGTGGTGGAGGGGATGGTGAGAGTGGTGGAGGGGATGGTGTGAGTGGTGGAGGGGATGGTGTGAGTGGTGGAGGGGATGGTGTGAGTGGTGAAGGGGATGGTGTGAGTGGTGGAGGGGATGGTGTGAGTGGTGGAGGGGATGGTGTGAGTGGTGGAGGGGATGGTGTGAGTGGTGGGGGGGATGGTGTGAGTGGTGGGGGGGATGGTGTGAGTGGTGGAGGGGATGGTGTGAGTGGTGGAGGGGATGGTGTGAGTGGTGGAGGGGATGGTGTGAGTGGTGGAGGGGATGGTGTGAGTGGTGGAGGGGATGGTGTGAGTGGTGGAGGGGATGGTGTGAGTGGTGGAGGGGATGGTGTGAGTGGTGTGGTGGATGGTGATTCTCCCATCTCAGATTATTATCGACATCAAAAGGGCATGAGAGATATTATAATAAAGCATGTCCACTATGTGCACTCTGCCAACCATCTCAACTTATAATCAATATATGGTAAATATAACAATTAGTAATACATGGTTAAAAACATAATGAGCATTAGTGTTATATTAGCAGCAAGTATAATAATAATAATAATAGTAATAATATGAAAACCTTAGGTGTGAGCAAGAAGACGAGCATGAGTCAGAAGTTAAAGGCTGTGGCTACAAAACCTTGGCAGTGTGACTTTTTTCGGACTGAAGAAAGAATTAGCGCACTCCATGAGAACTCCAGGTTTAGTGACCTCACCATCACCTTCCCAGGTCACCAGGATGTAATGCAGGTATAGTATTGCTTTTACAAGTGCACCTTAACCCTTAAGCCTCTAAGAGCCTTTTGGCCTTCAACAGTCACAGGTGCAAAAAGAAAAAAAAATTAAAACAATTCTTTTTTCTTATTAATCTCTTTATTTGTGTTCCCTGAGCACGGGAAAAATAAAAAAAATAATTGTACTTACAATTGACATAAATGAGCCTAGAAGTTGGCCGATGACGTCACAGATCTTCGTCACTCAAATGTGGTGTGTCTTGGCAGAGTCAGGCGAGGCGGAGGAGGAGCCCGAGTTGCCGCATATTTATTTTCCCTTCATTATTTACAGTATCTTTGGCGTATTTTACAATTATTTTTCTTCACTGGTGTGGTACAATATGTTGTCACTTGATGTTTTATTATAATACAACTGTTGTAAATTTATTATGTTGTCACATATTAGTGTCACAAGTATTTGCACAAAAATGCCTTATTTTTCAGTACATATATACAATTTATTATGATTTGTTTTCACTATATACACTCACTCTGTATGTACATGTTTTTGCACAAGTCTTGAACATTTAGAAGTCATCAAGACTGTAATACTCATCAAAACAGTTGACATAACACAAAAGGACCTTTTTCTGGGGGGAGCCCCGTCGGCTTCCCGGAGCTATCTAGGCTGATATGTAACTATTAGCTTTCTGGCATCAAAGTGCATGGAGTTCTGCCTACCAGGGACCACGAGCCAGAACCTGGCCCCTTCAGAGAGGCGCAAGGAGCAATGGCCTATAGAAACCCCCATGTGGTTGGAGTCATTCTATTTCTGCCATTGACCGGGTCTGTCATCCAGAAAGGTAGGCGTCCCAAAACAAACCCCTATTCTGGTGAAAAGATGCTACCGAAAGCCGAATGAGTGGACAGAACGCCTCAAAAGAAAACTAGCAACTAGCATGATGTCATCACATCACCACGCCGCTGTCTGTGCTAACCCATCCCACTGCCCAGGAGGAAGGGGAAGCCCCAGACCCTCTCGCCGGCGACCCAACTGGCAGTTCTTGACTGATGTGATACTGGCTAGTCGGGTGCCTCTGGCTCCAGTTTTTGTTCTCAGTTACTGTGCCTTGTGGCAAAGTCTGTCTCTACTCGGGGTGTGTGAGCCAAGCCAGGAGTAATATTCTTTGGTACTCGGGTTGCATACGCCTAGGGATGCCTTCCCTAGGTGCACAGTAAAGTACTGCCCTTAGGGCATGGGGCTGCCTTCCACAAGTCACCTTGGGGTCTACCTCTGCTGTGCTTTTTACTGCTCGGTACTTGGCCGCCCTTGGAGTCAGCTCTGTTCTTGCTGCCCTTGTTTGCCTCTGAGTAGGAGATAATTTTCGTCACTGGTAGGGGTGTAGGGTACTGCACAGCTAGTTTTCATCAATTATAGAGGCCGGTTCTGTTCCACCTGGGTACGGTGTTCTCTTGTGGGATTTTTCTTTTGTTTTTGTTTTCCTGCCAGGTGAGGGTCTGCCTTTGGTCGCCCCTTGGTTCCTTCTTTCATATATATTGTGTTTTGGTGGTACCCTTGCTTGGCTCCCATGAGTGGACACGTCCTGGGGGTTCCACTTACGTCCTGGGGGTTAAGCTTTAGAAGTTTGCTTGGTAGTTTTGGGTGCCGGGGTTTGCAGTACCCTTCCTGGGCTTCCCTTAGCATGTTACAAAGGCTAAGGGCCCTGGGAAACCACACGGGGGGGGGGGGGGGCTCATGGTCCAATGGATGTGACCCCGGAGTCCCTTCTTGCTTTGTGCGAGGTTCATAGTTGCTCTGTCCCCCTGTTTTGGGGTGACATTCACTGGTTTTGCCTCTGCCATGCTGCCTGTCAGGTCGGCGATCCTATTGACCCGGAGTCGTGCGATGTTTGTTCTTTGCACGTGCTCCAGTTCACCCAAGCTACTAAACATGATATGAGGGTGCAGGCAGCACAGGGATTGCATGCTCGGTTTAGGTTACTGCAAAGCGATAGGTTGGTTGCTTCCCCGGATGCCCTGTTTTGGTTATAGGGATCCGGACTTGGGGGTGGGAGTCCCTTCGACTTTGGTTCCGTCCGCTGCTCCTTGTCCTTCCCCTTCTGTGGTTCATCCAGTTCCTCCCCTTTTGCATCCGGCTCCGAAACGTCTGAGGGTTTCGGAGTTGGGGCAAGATTTAGTTGGTGTTGAGATTCGGGTGGCCTCGGGGAGTCCCCTTCCGGGGAGGTGCCAGAGGCATTCAAGCCTGGTCCTCCACCCGCAGCTTCTGGGTGTGACCAGTGGGCCCCCTTCATTTCTGCTTTTTTTGCTGCTCCTGCCTTTCCTTTAGAGGGGGGAGGGGAATTTGGAAGACGGCTCGGCCCCGGGGCCTAGTGGTGAGGTTCCCGGGGCGGAAGAGGGGTTGATTTGGGGGGCCTTGCGGCCCATTGGACCCTGCCTGAGTTTTTCTACCCTCCGAGCGGGGCGTGGTGTTACAAGGAGAGGGGTTCTCTTCTGCTCCTTCCTCATACGAATTGGACTTAGCGTTTACACCTCCCTGGATTCGGTTCCATGATCGCGTCGGCTCCTCGGTCCCATCCTTCTGGAGGTTTTCGGCTTCTCATGTGGTGCGGGAAGCCCTTGCAGCTTACCTCCTGTGCGACCTGAATTATGCTTTCGTGATGGATCACGTTCCTTCATGTATGGAATTTCGTGTCTGTACTGGGTTCGTTATGAAGTTCCGGGGTCGTCCTGGTTGGCAGATTGCCCGCTTTTTTGTTGGAGGCTTGGCACACGTTTTGTCTGTCCTGCTCGCTCGAGTGGAGGGAGGCTCAGACGGCATTGCAGGTTTTCCTGGGGGGCGAATTTGAGAATCTCAATGCATGTTTGTTTACCCCTGCCCTTCCGGGGATGTGGGCGCGATGCAGCTTCATGTGCAGGTTCCTTTCCTTACGGCTGCCTTGATCACATAGGATTTGCATACCCGCAGCTTGTTGGCTTCGGCCCTGCATGTCTTCATCCTCCTCGAGCTGACTTCGGATTGGCTTGGGTTGGATGTGGAGGAGCTAGGGGCCGCCTCTGGATCTGGGGCGTTGCCTTTGGCGGTGTGTGTGTCGTCTGCATTGAAGCTCTTCGCCTCGCTCCTGTGGGATGCAGTTTCACATTTTTTTGCTCCTTGCCTCGTGTGTCTACATGCGGTGCTGGCTTCTTTAGAATCTGCTTGGGCCTTGGCTCTTAAGTTGTCTTTGCCTTTTTGTGCATTACTCTTTGCAGAGTCTGCAATTGTGCAGTGATTCGGGGCAGGGGCAGCCTTCAGTTCCATCTTTTTCTGGTCAGTGCGGGGCTCACCCTGTGTGCTGTTTAGGTTCTCATAAGGTGCGTTGGCCCCTTTTGCGGTTCGTTCCATTGATGGGGCGATAGAGGAGGCTCGCTCTGTTCGCTCACGCCTATTTCCACGATTTGTGGGCTTTTCGGGTCATTTCTTGCAGACTGCAGTGGTGTTGGGTGGCTCCTCCTCCTTCGGGAGGTTCGAGGTTGGCGGGGCAGGCCTCTTGCGCTCTGTCGAGTCGTCTCAGAGTGGGTTGGGCATGGTCGAAACAACCTCGTTTCTCAGGTGGGTCTCCCGCCTGTTTCCAGTCCTGAAACGGGACTACACGGACCTCAGGTTCATTCTGGTCTTGTCTCGTCTGAACCCATGGGTTTATTTCCCCTCCTTTCGGATGACTACTGTCTCAGGTCCGTCTTCTGTTGGAGCCAGGTACTTGGATGGTGTCCCTAGACCTCAAGGATGTGTATTGTCGTGTCCTGATTCATCCGAGGTTCAGGGACTGGCAAGGCTTTGCGGTAGGGATTTGTAGTCAAGGTTACCGCTTTTGGGTCCTTCCTTTCGGTTTGAATATGGCATCTTGCGTTTTTACACACCTTAACCGGGTCGTGGTGGCTCGTCTGCTACTGTTAGGTGTTCGGGTTCTGACCTTCCTCGACGACTGGCGGGTTTGGGTTCCCAGCCAGTCCTCTTGTCTGCTCGCCAGGGATTTGGTTCTCTCCCAGCTAGCCGGGTTTGGGTTCCTGGTGAACTGGCAGAAGTCCCATCTGGTACCCTCTCGGGTTCGGTCTTGGCTGGGCCTTGTGTGGGATGCTCGGACCGCTTTCTTGTCTCTGCCTTCGGTGGCTCTGCTTCTCCTGCGTTCCCGCCTTCAATTGTTTCTGAGGGGCTCCTGGGTGACTTGGAGGTTGCTCGAGGGCTTGTCGAGCTTGAACTTTGTCATGATGGACTACCTGCCGGGTTGGATGTGGCTTTGTTGACTGTTCTGGTCCCTTTGGGGATGTCTCGTTTGCCTCTCTTGCGACCCTCTGTGTTCGGCGTCCGGATGCTTTTCATTGGCTGCTACGTCGCCGGCTTCCTCTTCGGCTTTTTCGGTGTTCAGTGCTTTGGTGCCCACCCGAGCCCCTCGCTCGATGTGTTCACGGACGCATCGTCTCTGGGCTGGGGCTTTATGACCAGTGCTCACCAGGCCAGCCAGGGGCGGTGGAGTCTGTCCTTCCGTCGGGCTCACAGCACGGTGCGGGAGTTTGCAGCAGTGTGGATGTCGATCCAAAGGGTTCGGGTTGCTCATTTGACAGTCGGATCAACGATCTGGCTCCATTCATACTGCTCCCCGGTGGTTCATTGCCCGAACTGAGGGGGTTCAATGCAATCCTTGGCTCTTTGGGGCTGGTCGCTTCGTGTGACTCATCTGGCGAGTTCTCGGGGTTGGGCTCTCCTGGCAGTTCACGTTCGGAGAGTATCCAATGTCCTGACGGACGGGTTGTCCCGGTTAATTTCCCCTTTTCCACAGAATGGATGGTTGACGCCTTCTTCAGTTGGCTCTGCCAGATGTTCGGGTCTCTTCAAGTGGATCTCTTCGCGTCGGCGTGGTCGAGCCGTCTCCCAGTATATGTGGCGCCCTTCCCTAACTCCAAGGCCGTTGGGGTCGACGCCTTTCGGCAGGACTGGGGGAGGTGGGGTTACTCTTTCCCCAGGTTCAACTGTTGCTCCAG